GGGAAAATCCAAAGAAGGTTTTCATATACGTTCACCACAAACTATTTCTAGATCCCAATAGACCCAATGCCAAATAGCTTCCAGAAAGCATAAGCCAGAAAACACAATATGTGCCCCAGCTACACCTTCATAACTCCAAATTCTCGGATTCGTTACAACCCCTCCTGTAATACTTTCAAAGTGAACTTATACGGGAAAGCCACCTAAGATGCTGGTTCAATTCCAGCTTCGAAGTCTCCCCGGATTCGTCCTTCCAAGAAGATCTTTCATTGCAACGTGGGAAAGAATACTAAGGAATAGCTCGAACTAGACCCAGCTCTTTTACCCCAAAAAATGCCAATTCAGTGGCTTGGCGGACCATCTCGGAGTAGGACAGAATTCCATGGCCAAACAGGGTATAATAGAGGTCATTGCGAAGACCATCTCGGAAGTGAATAGCCTTCTTCTCATCAATATCTACGAGTGGGGTGAACTCACTCATATCGGGTGAAGTCGCACTCGTAGACATCCACGAGACGGGGTCCATGTCGAAGCTCCCAAAACTCTCGCATCATCTGGGCATGGTAAGCCTCCGGGTAGTACTTATCATTGACTATGGCAACCATCTGATCCTAAGTCAGAGCATGTCTCTCAGCACGAAGACGTAGCCTCCAGTAGTCGGACCACCATGCTCTAGCATCTCCAGTCATTTGTTATGTGGCACAACGAATCTTCACCTCATCGGTGGTGAATAGCAGGTCAAAGATGCGTGTCAGTTGCTGAAGCCATTCGGCCTCAGCTTGGGGGCCTTCAACACTAGTGAACGCCGGTGGGTACATGTTATGGAAGTCGATCACAGACTGTCTAATGGGATCCCTACCTGGGGTGTGCTGCAGAGGAGGAGATGGAGGTGGGGGAGGCGGTTTCTATTGCTGGCTATTGCGGGTTTGGCGAGCCATTGTTCTACATTGAAAATGGGCCGAAAATTTTAGCAGAGTTATAAGGAGATCTAGGGTTCATCATAAACACTAGAGTTCGATTTATTCAAAGGTGGATAGATCCTAAGCCCTAAATATCAGCAATCCATATCTCAAGTTGTTAGAATCACAATTTACATTACAAGTATGTCATTGATACTTATAAAATAACATACCTTAAGCAGTGTGGCATGACAAAGACGAGTGGTCAAAACACAAGGTCAAATCATATAATCACTTAATCAAGTGATTCACACGTAGACCAGTCTACAAAAACACAAACTGGCTTTGATACCAAACTGTAATGTCCCACTTTTATTTGGCAAAATTCAAGGACTTTTCAAAAGTCTACTAAAAATTTTTCAAAAACTTTTTATAAATCAATGGTGCTACTCAGCCCAAATCCTTCTGGTCTTACAACGAGTGTCCAGCTAGTAGGAGTCTCCCCCGAAGGCACGGGCTCGCCATCGAACTTACACCGGGGTACTTATCACTAACCAAGCACAACCATGGTCTCAAGCGACGTATCCTTCGCAAGGACGTAAAGAGGAGATTACCCTAGCGGGGTCGTTCGATAATTACGGGGATAACCGTTCGACGGTCGATACAGCTCATATCGAAGGCTACATGGTCCACTTACATACATTGATCACACCCACATAAATAAAACATTTATCACTCATGGCATAGATATTTTGGATAACGCACCTGGTGTCCGGAGAAATAAGAAGACACAGAAATCGAGAAAAATCAGGTCGAGAACACAGCTCGTCAAACACCTACATTATATAAATAGTCTTATAAATGACTATTCAACACACGAACACTTATAACTACAGTCATGCGATCCAACTTAGCTCACATAGTTCATTTAAACATGCATACAAAACGAACACTTCATTTCCGAACACATAACACGAGTTTTTAAAAAACCTAACTCAGGCAGCGTTTTGAAAATCAACATAACTAACGACACATAATTCATATGAATATGGTTCAAGTCTCAGATTAAACCTAAGACATGCACCTACAACTCTTATTAAAACCTCAGGATTAAATAATGACATTTAGTAGGTCAAAAATCGACTAACATGAAGAACCTGGTTGCAGTCCAGGAAATATAAATATGTTGGTGCACAATTTTAAGACAATGGACATAATTCATTCTATACACAACATATTGACATGATTCTCGCATCATTAGAAAGCTGAGAGGCAGCCCTACAACTTTTATTCATAACACATGAGCAGATAAGGCTATTATGATAGGGTAAAAGCAGTTAACATATATATTCAGTTATCTGCCAAAAGTTTAAAACAACCACATGCATATCCTCATTCACTTGGGCATACTCGGGCTACAGACAAACTTTTAATGAGATTTAAAAACCACAATGCAGCCAACACGATTATCTACAACTTCGATGAGGACCCTTTTAGAAAATAATGATGTTATCAAAGAGTTTAAACACAAAATACTCGATTCATAAAAACTGTCTAAAACCAAAATAGGATACAGACAGCACTTCAAAAAATTGACAATAACTCATACTTCATACCACATAGCAGCCTGAACTTCATCTCATCAAAAAGCTAAGAAATAGACCTATAACTTTCATTAAGATTATAACTTTCATGAAGATTATATTTTCCTGAGCCCACTATTATTACCCTAGCTGGGTCGTTTGATAATGCACTCATCTTGAAGTTTTCCTTCACTGTTCCTTCCTCTGGGACTTATCTATCGGACTGGACAAATTGGGTTTCAAGGGTAGAGTGTCTCCTAAGTTCCTTAACTATAATCACTATTTACTCTTTTTCGAGCTCAAAGAGGACTACAATTCT